TAATAAGGAACCCCCCCCCCCCAAAATAGTATTGGTAATTATTTCGGCCCCTACATTATTCAGGCTTCTAGATTTCGTTTTAGGGATAAGCCCTGGGAAGCCAATGCCACACTCCGAAGGTCACCTGGGTTCCTGGTAAGAAACTAAGATTTATTCGACCATGATAGGAACCTATCGTAAACACCACGGTATCCCATACCATAACACGGATCTATAAGAAATAGCAGGGTCTCCTTATCACGGTAACTTAACTTAAGTTCCTTAGCAAGAGCACAGGAAGGTCTTCGCCGAGAGACTCGCCAAGGCTTGCTGAAGGCAGTCATCACGAGGCTGGCATAGAGGAGGAGGTTCATGGAGACCACCTGTCGCAATCTGACTAACCTACTTCCCAGACGCCCCGGAAGGATCTAGAAAGTAGAGCCCCTAATTTGGGACCCTATACTACTAAGGGCTCTTTATAAAAACCCCCCTTCGGGAATCTACTTTTTGGGTCCTCTCGGGGGTCTGGGTTACAGTACCTAGTATAGGACGTTGACTAAGAAATCTGGATCTTCGTTGATTTTTTTCTATGGATCATAACATTTTGGGGTGATAGCACCAGGATTTCTTTAATCAGGCTCCTACTTTGTATGGTTTATGAGGCTACCTGGCAGGCTTCATGTCATGTAGAAATCTGAGGAGGATTTTTTGTAATCGCAACCTAGTATGGCCGTAGACAAACGTAGGCTAATACGCCCAAAAGCCGTGTTCTTGTTCTTAATTCCCCTTTTTAGGGCTTGGGTGGCGGGTTCTGAGGCGTAACGCTGATCTGAAGCCGACACCCTACTTGGAGGTTCATGGGTAGTTATAAGTGGATCTATAAGTCCCGTAATAAAGGTTATAACTATAGAATCCTACTTATAACCCTACTTATGACTACCCATGAACCACCAAGTAAAACCCGTGCGAGTCTGAACAAGCTTCGAAGCAGAAGGGCACGAAGCACCGAACGACCCGCAGACCCACTAGGTTCCCCAGTAGCCCCATAATGATAAAGCTACCCTTTTCCCTACTATAGGGTTTTGATAAGGGAGCCCAGAAAGAAAAAGGGCAAAAGGGTACTACTCGGGAACCTAGCCCGTCATGAAGATGTCATGTCATATAACCCCTTGTGTTTATGAAGCCTGAGCGTGAACCCTACATCCCAGAACCCTGACAGGATCCAACAAGTAGATCCCTTAATGGGGGTTCCCGTAAAAGGAACTCGGGTAGTATAAGTTCCCAAATTAAGGCTTCTACTTTCTCGATCCTCCCGGATCTATGTCATGGCAAAAACGGAAACCCAGACCCCCGGGAGGATCCAACAAGTAGGTCCCTTAATGGGGCTCCATGATCATCATCACCAGCATCATCGCAAACACCATCAACACCGTGAACATCAACATTCTCTTCATCAGCATCTCTATCACGATATCAACGATACGGCGTCATGATTTTCTCTATACTGAACTTAGACCCTTAGCAAACACTATAATTTTAGCTGTTTTGTTAGGGTTTATAGTAACCAAAGATTAAAAATATTTCTAAGTACCCCTAAGATCTTGTTTGATATGGAAGGGAGCCTTGCCAGAGGTTCCCGGGATCAGCGGGCACAGGACGACCAGAGCATTTCCTGGGAGGCAGGAAGAGATATTACATGATACTGTAATATGTTTTAGTAGATAGTATATGATACTGTAAGATGCTATAGCAGATATTATATGATACTGTAATATGCTATAGTCGGTTATACCAGGATAAATCGCATTAAACATGGCTTCTAAGCCGGCCACAGAGTATCTCAAAAGCCGGGGTTCCTCTAATGGCTCTAATCAGACTTGCTGCCGCCTGTGCACAGCAGGGGTTTAGGGTTTAGGGTTTAGGGGTTTAGGGTTTAGGGTTTAGGGTTTAGGGCAGTGCCAATTGAAAGTTTGCATGAGCTTCGCCCAGACCTTGCCGAGGCTAGTATTGGGCACGGCACTTCCGTGCGGTGCAAAAAGCACACAAGTCTTTCCCACAGACCCGCGGGAGGATCCAGAAAGTAGATCCCTTAAGTGGGTTCCTATAGAGTACCCTTTAATAGTTAGGGTCCCAAATTAGGGGATCTACTTTTTAGATCCTCCCGGGGGTCTAGGTTTGGAAGCCTGGTTTGTCTCCCAAAGTCCCATCCTGCATTTGCCGGCGCTTGGAAAGCTGCTTCCAGAAGCCCTCCAGAGCTTTCACTTCGCATGACAGTGGTGGTACTGTTGATGGACACCCAAATATAGTAGAGTACCATAAATCCCCATAGTTTAGGTATATAAGGTCATGCAGGACTTTGGCCATCAACCGTAGTGCCGAAAAAACCTTCGTGTGGCAGCGCGAGGGATTTGACTAGTCCTAGAGGGCATCAGCTCCTGCAGCGGTAAAGGCAGCTGACTCCTGCTTGGTGGACTTAAAATTAGAAGGCGTGAAAGCGTACCCTCTGGTGAGATGGCTTGAGACAAACAGTGCTTTAGGGGTTCTCTTTTCTTACTTACATTGAAGGGGTCTGGGAAGCTGCCTTGAGTCACAGCTGGCAATCGTCGCAAGCAGCCGTGAGGGGACTGCATTCGGGCGTAAGACTCGGGACCACAGTAGAGCTCGGTTGGTCGTAAGCCCCGGAGAACCAAGCCAAGCTGGAGATGCGCTTGAGGAACCTTTATAGTAATCCGCATAGTAACTTCTTTCTAACAAGGAATTTTGTTGCGGAGCCCTTAAAAGAACCCTTATCGTCACCCTCACAATAGCCGTGATATATACTACTAAAGGGTACTTCATAGGAACCCCCTTTAAGGGATCTACTTTTTGGATCCTCCCGGGGGTCTGGGTATAGTAAACCTTTAAACTTTCAACAGGAGCCCCTTTAGAAACCGGCTCCAGAGTCGTCTGCAAACAGAGGACGGTTTAGGTTTTGGGATTGAGGGCTTGGGGATTTGGGGGTTTCCGAAAATAGGGGGACCCTAAATAGTACCCTAAACGGTAGGATCCTTATTAAAAGGACCCCAAAATAAGGTTCCCTAGTTTTCGGAAGATCCCATTTAGGGATTTAGGCATTGGGATTGAGGCCTTCGGATTCAGGTACTTGAGGGTTGCCGGGCTTCCCGAACCCAGACCCTCACAGGATCTAGAAAGTAGAACCCCAAATTTGGGCCCGTCTACGACTAAAGGGTACTTTCTAGGAACTCGCATTCAGGGATCTACTTTCTAGATCCTCCCGGGAGTCTGGGAAGAGGTTTAGAAGAGTAGTTTTACATCATCACAACAAAGGAACCCGTTGCACACTGGAGTATCTGAGAGGGAGTGGAGAATGATTTCGGCTCAAAGTCAGGGCTGCGGGCGGAAGAGTCAGAAACAAGAGTCAAGGAAGCAACGTGCTTGCTGCAGAACAACTATAGCTATAGCTATAGCTGTGTTGTAGCTAAGTTACAGCTTCATTATCGCTATGTTGTAGCTATTATGTTGTCGCTTAGTATCGGAGGTATTCTGCAGCAGAAGCCAACCGTCAGCTGACGCTAACAAGTGAACTGTCGATGGCAACGGCTGGTGGACAACGTCACACCCATGAAGATGCCTTACATTCCACACTTCCCACAGATTGTCGATGCGAAGCTGAAAGCCTTGAGCACTAGTTACACTAACTAGACTTATGCTCTAGGCTTGGATGCTTCGTGCACATTTGTACATGCATGCAACAGCATGTACCTGTGTGTCTCTGTGTATGTGTGCGCAGGGCTGGGAACTTAATATAGGGGCCTTCCTTTAAAGCTTAAAATAGTAAGTGGATCGCACGGCAACATGTGAACGTATTTGCAACAGGAACTTTCTTCCACTGGGGAGGTCACTTGAGCTCTCCTACCTTTTTGATAAATTTTAGTGCCCCTCATGTAGGGTTGCAAATGGAATGGATCTCCAGCACTCTGTCCGAAAACAATCATTTTTATCACATGTTCTTGGTCTGTTGTGGCCTGTGGCATGAAAAGCCCACGTTTGCCGCCTCTTGTGTCCTCAAAACCACACGTGTGTGGCCCGTTGTGGCCTCACTTTCACTGTGTTCCTTGCAAAAAATCGCATTCATAGTAAGAATAGGGTTTTGGGGCCCATCATACCATAATCATAACAAGGAACCCCCAAGTTAGTATTGGTAATTGTTCCGACCCCTATATTAAATATCGAGATCCGGATGCTAAGATGCCGAGCTCTAGACCCAAAGCACTGTGACCCGGATCCCGGATCCTAATCCTAAAGCCCGCGGACGCCTGAACCTAAAAAAGGGGGTTAATACTTCGGTTGATGGACAAAACCCTGTATGACCTTATTTACCTAAACTATGGGGTTTATGGTACTATACTATATTTGGGTCATTCAGAACTTTGTCCATCAACAGTTAGAACAGGGTTTTGAGGGTCTACTATATTATACTCACAATACGAAACCCCCAAAATAACATTGGTGATTAGTTAGAGCCCTCTATTCAGCCCCAAAGACAGGGGTGTTCGGCTTATACCCAGACCCCCGGACGGATCTAGAAAGTAGATCCCCTAATTTGGGACCCCATACTACTAAGGGCTCTTTATAGGAACCCCCATTGAGGGATCTACTTTCTAGATCCTCCCGGGGGTCTGGGTATCGGATTTTAAGCTTCGCGGGGGAATGAAGAAAGACGAGCTGCATCCACCCATTCCCAGGATCCGAAAAGTAGATCCCTCAAGGGGGGGGTTCCCTTAAAGGGATCTATAGGGATTATAGGGGATTTATAAGGGGTTTATAGGGCTTTGGGAGTAGATCCGTTAATGGGGGTTCCTATAAAGACCCTTGAGTAGTATAGGGCCCCAAATTAGGGGTTCTGCTTTCTAGATCCTAAACCCCCAAAACCCTTCTAAAACCCTAAAGCCCTTTAGATCCCTTTCAGGATCCCTTAAGGGAACCTCCATTAAGGGGGTTCTGCTTTCTAGATCCTCCCGGGGGTCTGGGTTTGAATGACTTCAGCAGAGCGGCGGACCAAGAAGAGGACGGAAAAGACCTGGACCAGGGTCTCGAGGGGTTCCCTGCCCTAAACCCAAAACCCTAAACGTTTAGGGTTTAGGGTCTAGGGTTCTAGGGTTTAGGGTTTTGGGGGTTTAGGGTCTCGAGGGGTTCTTAAAGGTTCATGGGACTGAGTAACTAGGGTTATAAATAAGGGAACTATACTTATAAGTACTTATAACCCCAATTAAGGTACTTATAACTGTACTTATTAAGTCCCATGAACCTCCAAGTTCCCTACACCCTGAACTCTAAAGTTGAAAATCCCAAACTCGTGGTTCAGGGTTAACGTTCAGGATTTGGGGGTTTAGGGTGGGGGCTTCGGGTGTGAGGCCGCAACGAAAGTCCAAAAACCTCCCTGCAGAGCCGCTTCGAAGCCCATGGAGCCCCAAGTTGTCAGGGGTTTAGGGTTTAGGGTTTAGGGTTTAGGGTTTAGGGTTTACGGTTTACGGTTTAGGGTTTAGGGTTTACGGTTTAGGGTTTAGGGTTTAGGGTTGAGGGCTTGAAACCTGAACTGCTTAAACCCTAGGGCCCTGAAGCCACCTCAACAACTCGAGAATTTGCTACACCCCCCTGGAAACAATGAACACCGAACACCACCCTAAAGGGATCCTGTACCCAGACTTTCGGGAGGATCTAGAAAGCAGAACGCCCTAATTTGGGACCCTATGCTACCAAGGGCTCTTTATAGGAACCCCCATTAAAGGATCTACTTTTTGGATCCTTTCGTGGGTCTGGGTTTTAAGGGGGCTCGGCGCGGAATCGAGGGAATCGAGGTAAACCCTGAACCCTGAACCCTACACCCTAAACCCGTCTTGCCTCCGCACCAGGGCGGAAACGCATGAAGAGGAAGGAGCAGGCCTCGTGTATCCCAAAATAATTACCAAATCTAATGTAGGGTTTTGGGGCTCCTTTAAAGGGTTCCTTAAAGGGTTCTATAAAGGCTACTGTAAGGGTTTAGGGTTTAGGGGCCTTACGAATTAGAATAGGGTTTTCGGGTATATTATAGTATATTTATAATAAGAAACCACCAAAACAATGTAGGTAAAAGTTTGGGCCCCCATATTTTTCTGGGGCTCTTTGCTATCCCAGACCTGTGGGAGGATCTAAAAAGTGACTACTAAAGAGGAGCCCCTCAAGGGATCTACTTTTTGGATCCTGCCGGGGGTCTGGGATACTTAGTTATCGTGTAACTTACGCCATCAGCTTGTAGACGATTCTTCAGGCCCTCTATTGAGACAAGAATAGGACACCTCCCCCTTTCCGAAGAACAGGGCTCCTACCGTGAGATGGCTTCAGGGCTTCGGGAGGCCTTCTGTCAAGAATTTCGATGTTTTGTAGATCCTGAATCGGGCTGCTTCTACCCAGACCCCCGGAAGGATCTAGAAAGTAGAACCCCCAATTTGGGACCCTATACTACTAAAGGGCCTTTATAGGAACCCCCATTAAGGGATCTACTTTTTGGATCCTCCCGGGGGTCTGGGTAGTTGTTCAGACTTCCAGTGTTAGGAAAATTTGGGGCCTTCTGCCTTCTTTGGAAGGGAAGATTGGGACTAAAGGTTTGGGCTGTTCAGGGCAGGCTTGGTTTAG